TCTCCCACTTTCTCGTTTGTTGCTGTCTTTCACTCTCTTCATCGCTGGTACAGGCAAGGAGACGCGCTGATGCAAAGATTAACTCCCAACCCTGTGACATACTGATCTCCCAGAGGTGAGGACAAAGACAGTGGGTTATTCTCTCAGGGTTTAGTGTGCAGTTGCTGTTCGAAACAGTCCTCTAACGAAGCTCTAATGAAGTGTGAACAAGTGAATCCCTAGATGGTCCCTTTGTGCATTAGAGCAGTATAAAAACAGAACATTTATTGCACCTTTCAGCAGAATTATGGCCTGTCTCTTGATCACATCTTTTCTTGTCTTCTGTCTTGTCTTCTTGTATTGACATATATAACCAAAGAATGTACTTATAGATTGATAAGAATCATGTGTGTGTTTATGAAGGTATCATTATTGAAAGTATAAGCTTTTCTTGGTCCTGTCTTTATAAACATTACTGATATATCAAATGCCACTGGTTGTCATTCATAACTCTTGCATTGTGTCATATTAGTTAATGTTTTAATTCATTTTTGGGACATTTTGCTATTGCTTTTTGAATTTGGTGGGGGGGCTTTGTTTTTTCACCTTTTGATCACAGATTGTCTTTTGATGAGAAATCTAAAATTGTTCACTTTGATCAATTGCAAACCACATTTAGTGCTTGTGTTCCATGGTAGTAATGCATGTTTGCAACATGCAAGTTAATGCAGATTTTATCATGTGAAAGCCATTGATGATTCTTATTTTATGCTTACCCCTCTTCTGTCTCAGTTTCAGCACAGTACAGTGGAAGGACGTGTGTGTGGGTGATATACTGCGGGTCCACAAAGACCAAGTCATCCCTGTGAGTTGCTCTGTTTATTCACCCATTCATCTTCTATACCGCTCAGTCCCAAATGGGGGGGAGGGATATCAGCAATCGGGCGAAGGTGGGGTACACCCTGGACAGGTCACCAGTCCATCGCAGGGCAAACACACAGACAAGCAACCACTCATGCGCACACATTCACTCCTACGGGCAATTTAGAGTCACCAATCAACCTAAGCCGCATGTCTTTGGACAGTGGGGGGAAGCCGGAGTACCCGGAGAGAACCCACGCAAGCACGGGGAGAACATGCAAACTCTGCACAGAAAGGTCGCAACCTTCTTGCTGTGAGGCAACAGCGCTAACCACCATGCCACCGCGCTGCCCTACTACTCTGTTTATACAAAAACAAAAATTACCAGCAAGATACACTCATTGGCCACTTTATTAGGTACACCTGTACAATTGTATACAATTCAATGCAACACTTCCACCTTAACATTTGTTTATGAAGCTCAAAATGTTTCAGTTTTTGGTGAAACTGTCATAAATGTATAAATTCAATTGTATGTTTATTATTGAGGTCATAGTTAAAGGTGGTGTTGTACTGGACTACATTAAATTTAGAGGTTTCTCTATATTTTTGTCCTCCCCAGCTACATGAGAAGGTCAGAATATTAGGAACATCTCTGAATATAACATAGTCCAGTACAACACTACACAACACTAACTTTAACTATTACCTCAATAATAAACCTTTTGTAATTCTAATAACTTTCCACTTAGCTTTCTCTCTGTTTATTATCCTTCCTCTCTTTGCTCCCAGGCAGACCTTCTTCTCCTGTGTAGTTCAGAGCCTCACAGTCTCTGTTATGTGGAAACAGCCGACATTGATGGGTAAAACCCACATAAATCTGTTCACTCATTCTGTTAAAAACATGGAAATTGTAATTTATTGAGTCACATAATCATTGTAAACTTTATACACAATTGAACTTAACTTTATAATTATGCACGTAATTGTAGTAGCTGAGCCCTGCGATGGATTGGCAACCTGTCCAGGGTGTACCCCGGCTCTAGCCCCCTGTGACCCCGTTCAGGGACTAAGCGGTAGAAAATGAATGAATGAATAGTAGTAGCAGTGCATATTTATTTAATATAAATTTTAACAAGTAGAAACAGTGAGCTACTACAACATTAAAAATATGATTAGTGTAAAAAATTGTACTGATAATTGAACAAATAGGAATGGAATAAGACATTTTAAGAGGTGATTTTAAAGGTAATACCAATTTTAGTGGCCCTTACTCTTTTGTAGCCTTGAGGCCAGGGTGACAGGATGTCAGTCACCTTTGAAGGTCTAAAATAAGTTATACACACTGCAAAAACCAGAGGGGCCCTGCCTGCTCAATGTGCACCACAGAGGGGTAAAATATGTATACAGATGCAGATAGGGTTGCTTTAGAAGTGATCAGTATAATCTGATAAACAGCTTTACATCTGTGAAGTGTTCAGTGAAAAAATGGCATCAGTTTCCTTCCTGCCACACATTTAGAAACAGTTACACTTGTTAAATAGTCTTTTGATTTAAACTAAACTACATAGAAATTTCTTCCTTATGCTTCTTAACCAAGAAATGAAGACTGCAAGACGATGATGATTATTTACATGGCCACTACCTTGACTTCTTAACTGCAATGTGTGGATTGTGGGTCCATGATTTGGTGTTGACTATGAATTTTGAATGTGTTAAAAAGTTTTAATATATATATTTATTTTTTTCTGCATACAGAGAGACCAACCTCAAGTACCGGCAGGCGCTCAATTATACACATGCTGAGCTGACCTCTCACCCCTTGGAGGAGACCCTTGCTGCCTTTGATGGTGAATGAATGTTTTCTATTAAGAATGCAGATTCCAGACATTCTTGTTTTAGACTAGAACAGAAATAAACAAGTAAACTTTTTACAAAACTGCATTGTCCTATGTAAGAGTAAATGTAAGGTCTCATTATAACGTTAGGTGTTGTGCTGTGTGAGGAGCCCAACAATCGCCTGTACACCTTCAGAGGCCAGCTGCACTGGAAGGGAGAGTGTTATCCGCTAGACAGCGAGCACATCCTCCTGAGGGGAACCGTCCTACGCAACACAGAGTTTGCCTATGGCTTGGCCATATACACTGGTACATGTAGGAGAATTTGATATCAAAATGGATTTATTTGGAATTTATATGCCTAAGAGGTGTTAGAGAGAGGTAGAATGATACAGTTTTGTCACATTTCATACTCTGAAATAGGACGGACACAGGGGTGGAGATAGAACATTTTGGAAAGGACAGATAGTGCTTTCTTTAGCTAACTTTGGCTGCGCTCCTATTATGCTAAATACTCCACAACAACACAACATTTCTTATGTGGAATGCATTATCCTGCTAATTATAGACAGTACTTAACTCTTGCAGGAGTGGTTCTGTGAACGTCGGCAGATTGCTGGTTCCTTCTGTCTATTAAGTGATCATTGATTGGATATTACTGGGCCATGAAGGGGTGTCATGGATTTCACTGTTATGCCTCTGGTAAAGCAGATCAATAGAGTAAAGCCTGGAGATAGGTTTTATACTATTTATCAGAGACTATTCATTGGTATGACTCCAGCTCACCCTGATTATAAGTCTTAACCCTCCTCATACACACTTGACATTGTCTAATTTAAATTAAGCATGATCAAGGTTGAAATATTATTTAGGACTTAGCTGGAGTCAGTTTTCTGTCCTTTTGCAGTTTGAAGATGCAGCATGGCACACATTCTCAGATATGTCATTTTTACACGTGCAGCTCAGTGTCCTTCAGCAGTCTATATGAGATTGAGATAACATCACTGGAAAACATTATGTGATACTTTATTGATTACTGCAAGGGAGGTTCCCTACTCCTCCAGCATCTCTGCACCAGGGTCAGACCCCCTGGAGCATCTTGCTCAAGGGCACATCAGCATGTGCCTCCTTACACGAGGGCTTGAACTTTCACTCAACTGGCTGCAGAATGCACTCTGAGCTCCCTCAGCAAGGCCGCTGCAGTTATAGTAGCTAACGGTAGTCTGTTCTGTACTAGGTGCGGACAGTAAAATCCTGAAGAACTGTGGGAAACTGAGGGTGAAAATGACTCGGACGGAAAAGGTTTTCAACAAAGTGGTGATGGTGGTAAGTGGGTTAAGGGCAGGGGGATGATGAGCATGACACATACTGTGTAGTGGAGTTATAAACTCTGAGTGTTTATGTTTTGGATCTCCAGATTATCCTGAGTGTGCTGCTTGTAGCGTTGCTTCTTGCTCTTGGCTGTGGTGTGTTTTCGAGTCAGGTCATGAGCCGCATTGAGGTTTTGTCTGCTCTGGTGGTTAACGGCAATCCAGCCTACACCGCATTCCTTATTTTTTGGAGCTACATCATCCTGTTCAGCCCCGCCATGCCCATAGCCCTCTATATCACGTTAGTTCCATCTTCAAATATTGCACTCTCTAATATACATACATATGCATAATGTGTTTGTTTATATACTGTCTGCCTGTGAATGTGTCTTTCATGCCTGTGTGTCCACAGGTTTGAGGTGGTCCACACGATACACAGCCTGTTTATTGGCTGGGATATAGAGATGTATTGGCAGCAGAGAGACAGACCAGCCCAGGCCAGGAACACCTCACTGAGTGAAGAGCTCGGCCAAGTTGGATACCTGCTGAGTGATAAAACTGGGACACTAACACAGAATCATTTACTCTTCAGACAGTGCTGCATAGATGGGGAGATCTATGGTAACAATAAAAATCCAGTTATTCTATGATATGTTAGATGATTTTCAACTCAGAGAGTGCAGACCTCTGCCAAGGGGCACTCATTTTCCTCATAATGCTATAAAAGCAATTTTCACAAGATAGTTTGACCCTCATAATATGATTGCTTGAAAACCTGCTCCTGGCATTTGGAATGATGCTGATATCATTAATAGTTTGAAAGTTATTCAAGAAAAATGATAGACACAACAGACATTCAGCTTTTGATTTAGGGGTAAAACGGGAGCTTCAGTGAGTGGACTGTAGGCAAAGTCGTGAAGCTGTCACATTTCTGCAAGTCTGTGTTCTGCTTGTTCAACAGCTGCTTATGCAGTTTGCGTTACTGGCTGATTGTTGCACTATGGGACTGGGAGTAAAGTAAAACAGTCTGCATCAGCTTGAGAGGTTATGCTGGGTGACAGTTAAGGGTAATTTGTTTCCTTAAATATTCATTTACGTAACAGATTTTGATAATGACCACAGAACAGAGTGTCCTCCCTGGTGTACAGTGGAACAAAGATCCCTCTGGAGAGACAACCTCACACAAACCTTTCTCAGCAGAGACAATTTATGAGACAACAGGAAACACTTAGTATGCTCATATCGCACTCCCTAAAGCAGGCATCACGAAAACTGGAAAGGAGGTGGCACTCCACTAAGTCAGAAGAGGTTTTCTTAGCCTGGAAAGATAGTTTAATAACATATAAGAAAGCCCTCCATAGTGCCAGAACCGCATATTATCCATCACTGATAGAGGAAAATAAGAACAACCCCAGGTTTCTTTTCAGCACTGTAGCCAGGCTGACAAAGAGCCACAGTGCTGTTGAGCTTAACATTCCCTTAATTCTCAGCAGCAATGACTTCATGAGCTTCTTTACAAATAAAATCACAACTATTAGAGAAAAAATTAATCAAATCATTCTCACAGGTGTGCCATCAAGTACACTGGCTTTAGAAACATCTGTGAGACCTCATTTATACTTGGACTACTTCTCTTCCATTGATCTCTCTGAGCTGACCTCAACAATTGCTTCATCTAAATCATCAACATGTCTCTTAGACTCCATCCCAACCACAATGCTCAAAGACATCTTGCCCCTAATCAACATGTCCATATTAGATCTGATTAACCTCTCTTTATTAACAGCGCTATGTTCTGCAGGCTTTTAAGGTTGCTGTAATTAAACCTCTACTCAAAAAGCCTACTCTTGGTTTTCTAGCTAATTATAGACCAACATCCAAGTTTATTTCTAAAATCCTTGAAAAAGCTGTTGCAAAGCAGTTATGTGACCACTTGCACAAGAATGATTTGTTTGAGGATTTTCAGTCAGGATTTAGAGTCCATCATAGTACAGAAACCGCATTGGTGAAAGTCACCAATGATCTTCTCCTAGCCTCAGATAAAGGACTTGTCTCCATACTTGTCCTCTTAGATCTCAGTGCTGCTTTTGACACCACTGATCACAGCCTCTTACTGCAGAGACTTGAACATGTTACTAGGATTAAAGGAACTGCACTAAGTTGGTTCAAATCTTACGTATCAGAAAGATTCCAATTTGTTCATGTTAATGATGAATCTTCTGTGCAAACTGAAGTTAGTCACAATGTTCTGCAGGGCTTTGGGTTAGGTCCAGTTCTCTTCACTTTATACATGCTCCCTTTAGACAATATTATTAGGAAACATGGCATTAACTTCCATTGCTATGCAGATGATACTCCGTTATATTTATCTATGAACCCAGCTGAATCAGATCAGTTAGTCAAACTTCAAGCATGTCTTACAGACATAAAGGCCTGGATGACTTGTAATTTCTTACTTCTAGTGCAGTCAGAACCACTGACACCAGCAAACTAAACAAACTGATCAGCAAGGCTGGCTCTTTGCTGTGGATATATGTGAAGCCTGTGGCATTGATTGTGGAGAGGAGGACGCTGCACAAGCTGTTGAAAATCATGGAGAACACCTCACGTCTCCTCCTCAAGCTACTAGTCAAACAGCGAAGCACTTACAGTCCTAGACTTCTTCAGCTTCGCTGTGACAAACAACATTTAAGGAAATCTTTCCCTCCAACTGCCATCACACTGAACAATGGCTGTGTCGGGAGAGGGATCTCCTCTGAGGGCTCATTGCCACACTTATGTCCATGTACATATATTCTCAGAAGTGGAAAGTAACTAAGTACATTTACTCAAGTACTGAATACAGTAATTTTGCAGTATCTATACTAGAGTATTTTCATTATCTGTTGCTTCGTGCTTCGACTTTACATTTAATAGAAAAATGTATAGTTTTTACTCTACATTTATTTAATAACTTTAGCCTCTAGTTACTTTTAAGAATGAGATTAATTAAAGAAAATACAGTATTGGACTTTATTGATTCTCGATAGTTAATTCACAAACTACCCAAAAGCATGTAAAGTACTTGAAATTAAAAGCATATAAGGTAGTTAAAATTAGCCCCACCTTTACCAGCTGCAGCATTAAATGTTATGTACACAATAACACATCAATAATTATAATCCAATAATAGGATGTTCATTAAAGTGAAATGTGCCATTCTGCATAGAGTACATTTACTTTTTGTACTTTAAGTGTATTTATTTTAATACTTTTACACTTTTACTTAATTAAGTAATATTTTACTTGTAAGAGAGTATGTTTACAATGTGGTAGTGTTACTTTACTGAAGTAAAAAATCTGAATACCTTTTCCACCACTTGTACTGTATCAATGAAAATGCGTCCCTGTGGGTATTACTGTATCTTTCTCATAGCAGTTATCTCATCTACTGAATATTTAATATAGTATTTACTTTTTTGCAGGTGATGCATCAGTCAGAACAGAGGATATTGAGGTATCATATAATTACACTCACATTTGTTTTTTTCAAATATACTTTATTCTTTATTCCCCTTCTCTTGATATAATTTCCAACCTGGTTCCAAGAGATTTTCTGATCTTCCTTCAGGGTTGATCTTTTCTCATCTATGTGCCTGTTGTTATTTCAGAATTACTGCCATCAGTATTAGACTCTATTCATATTAGCCACATTTACAGCACTGTATAATGTCAATGCTCAGTAACATTTGTTGTGCCATCTTTCTTCTCGTGCGTGTGCAGCCCATGGACTTGAGCTGGAATCCGTTCTCCCGTGGAGGTCTGTTCATGTCAGCTCCCAGCCTGGTGAAGAAACTCAGAGAGCAGCAGTGCCCACTCAGCAGACAGTTTCTCACAGCACTGTGCTTGTGTCACACTGTCATGGCACAGTGGAAGGAAGGTGGGCTTGTGTGTGTGCGTGTGTGTGTGTATTCATATTGTTTGTGATTCACACCAAAGTCAGTGAGTTGTCATCCTCCATCTGATACAACTACTAGACCTCAGCAGATAGCTGACAGCACTGGTCTGATATTTGGTGAATCTTGATGTGTGATTCTTGTTTCCCCTATGTTTTCACTTTACTCTTCCTGATAGTAGTGCTCCGTGTATAATTAAAATTCCAAGAACTCCGCTTGTCTAATGTTTACAAAACTTTAAATGAAGGTTCTTTTATTTTCAAGCCCCTGCACCACTGTTCTGAGCCCGATATAACAACATGTACAGATGAGTTACTGGCTGAAATAATCTACCACTCCTGGAGGACAACATGTTTACTTCCATTTTGCATGGTGATTGCATTCCTCCAGAGGCTCTAGTTTACCAGGCAGCATCCCCAGATGAGGAGGCTCTTGTTGGTGCAGCCAGGGAGCTGGGCTGGGTTTTCCTTGCTAGGACAAGAGACTTTATCGTCATCTCTGAGCTGGGCGTTACTCGGCAATATCAGCTTCTGGCACTGCTGGACTTTACCAGCAAGAGGAGATGCATGTCTGTACTGGGTGAGAGTAGCCCTCTAAATACACACTAACAAAAAAGGCATTTTGTTAGACAACCTCTTGTTGTCTTTTATGATTATACACACATTAAGTTCTCCCATGCCATATTCTTTTCTGGATACATTTTTCCAAACCATTTTTTTTTTTGTTTTCCAGTTCGGGAGCCAGAGGGTGGGATAAAGCTGTACTGTAAAGGGGCGGACATAGTGATCCTGGAGAGGCTGCAGACAGACTTTGCACATCAGGAAAAGACAGAAAGAGCCCTTGAGGTGAACTGAAGTTTCTACAGAACCAGTAGTGTGTGCTTTACAGACCACCTACTGAGCTTACTCTTTATATGGCATATTTTGGTTTCTATTTCAGTATTAAGCAGTTTGAAGTGACACTTGTCATGTGAAAATGTAAAACTCCAGTCTTGCTCATTGCTCTGTCTGGTCAGGAAATGGGTAGTCCTGCACATAACAGTGCAGTGTAACTTTTTTACACGCTGTTCTTATTGATAAAACACACAAAATCTAATGTGTTATTTAGTGCTGGATTCCAGTCTTTATACTAAGCTAAATGGCTGCTGTCTATATATAAGTGCATTACCCAAAATGTCATATATTGCTTTAAGGGCAGTAGAACACAGAGGTGCATTAAGGTGCATATTAGTAGCTATAAGTCCAATAGTGTAACATAATTTTTTACGTTTCTTTTTCTTGATCATGTGTATGAGTTAAAATGGATATGGTATATTTCATCACTGTTATCAACTTATCATTGTTTTAAGGTCAGTTAAAGGTCCATTAAACGTTTAATCAATAATCAGGAGGGTTCTCAAGACAGGACTGGAGCAGTCATCTCCACTGTAGTCCTACTGAGATAGCAGGCAGGACTAAAATGTTTATCTTGTGTTTTCTCTGTCAATCCTTCATTCCTGCCTGGAAAGTAAATAATGTGCATCTTATCTAATAATGTGTTAACTTATCTCCTGTCAGCTTTTTGCCCAGGCCTGTCTGAGGACTTTGTGTGTTGCGGTTCGATCTGTTTCTGAGGCATCATGGGAGCAGTGGAGAAAAACTCTGGCCCAGTCAGCTGTTATGCCAACCTGCGACCGTGACACACTACTAGAAAAGCTGTATGATCAGATGGAGCAAGAGCTACAGGTGGGCTCTTTTTAAATTTATTGGAAATCCTCCATTAAAAGTGGTATAGCTGGTCATTGACACAACATTACCAGTAAGGTAACTCTTTAAATCAAACTTGTACTTAGTGGTTTCTGCCACTTAGTTTCCCAAAGTGTGGGGCACCAAGTCATTCTTTAAGAAAGGAGTCCTTGTTTTTCAGCAGCTTTTTATTTGTTTGTTCATGTTGTGAGGTTGAACGTTACTCATATCATCTGTTTGTCTCCTTACAATAACGCTACTATGTAATAAAGCCAATATTCTGCAGAAATGCTAAAAAATGCAAACTTTTATGTTTTGTAGCTTCTAGGGGTGACAGCAATAGAGGATCGGCTTCAGGAGGGTGTACCAGAGACTATTGCTCTGCTTCAACAGGCTGGGATTAAACTATGGGTCTTGACTGGGGACAAAAAAGGTATTGTGACGCACCAATGCAGAGGGTGTGAAAGGCAGCATTATAAATGCTGTGCTGTAGCAATATGTAAACAAAGTGTCTTTTTCTATCTTGTTCTTACACCCTTTTCTTTGCCCTTGTAGAGACTGCAGTAAATATTGGATATTCTTGCAAACTACTAGATCCTGATACCAGATTACTGGAATGGCAGGAGCTGAGGTAAGCAATGAAAAAAAAAATACACAAATGTGCACACTCTAACACTGTCTCATTGATCTTTGTGTGTTCACCCCTGTAGACAGATACTCCAGTCCCCAGACCCTGGGGTCAGTTTCTTCAAGGCCAGACAGACGGATCTGTGGGCTGTAGACACGGGGATGTCTGGAGCAAAGACCGCTGTGGTCCTCACTGGACTTGAGCTGGTAAACACTAGACATAAAGGTTGCTGATATAGTTTTCATCATGTAGCTTTCAAATCACTCTGGATCATGCAGAACTGCTGTTTATGTCAGAGAGTGGGACAGTACAGTGGAAACCAAAATACAAAATACCTTAAAGGTCCCAAACATTTTCTCAGTATTTCTATTATGAGTGCTTGGGCAAGCACACTTTTTTTCCAAAGTTGGAAGAGTTCTAGTAATTTCTATGTGTGATCTTTTAAGTGCATGCCACTTTTTCTGTTCAATTCTCGCTGGTGTGACCTGAGCAAGGCTATAAGGGAAAAGGTGATGTCACATAGTTTTATGCACCAATCAAGATTGTATGCTTATGTTGCCAGGCCATTGTTAAATTTATCTGAAAAGACCACACCCGCAAAGTCCTGAAGAAGCAAGTTAGCTTTTATTTTCCTTTAAACCCTTAATTAATAATATTTAAGGATCCTTTTTTTACTTTTTTGTTTGTTGCATATTTTGAGATTATAGTGAAACCCAGTAGGTTTAAAACTAAGATTTTTAGTATGACAATGTCCAAAGTGTCAGTGGAAGCCATCTCAAACCCAAAAACTAGAATGGCAACTCTTCTAAATGTCTGTTAATATAGGTCAATTTAGTGTAAATGTTTCCTAAACTGAGCCATTTGATGATGTACCCCAGGCAGAGTTCGACCAGAGACCAGAATGGGGTGCCATATTCATGAATCTGGCACAACAGTGTCAGTCGGTGCTGTGCTGCCGTGTAACACCTGGACAGAAGGCTGATATTGTTACACTGGTCAGGAAACACACCAGCTCGATCACCTTGTGCATTGGTGATGGTGCCAACGATGTGAACATGATCAAAAGTAAGTCAGGTGCCATGAAAAGTTGGTGGAGAAAATGTGTAGCATTGCAGAGAGAACCTGCTAATCAGTATGTTCTGCTTTCTGTGTTCATGCATTTTTTTTTTTCCTGTTCCAGCGGCTCATGTTGGTGTGGGACTGGCAGGGGTGGAGGGAGGTCAGGCAGTGCAGAACGCAGACTTTGCATTGTCCCAGTTCAGATTTCTGCAAAGACTGCTACTGGTTCATGGGCGCTGGTCATACCAGCGCATTTCCATCTTCCTGTGCTACTTCCTGTATAAGACCTGTAGCTTTGCTCTTGTGCACATATGGTTTGGGTTCTTCAATGGCTTTAGTTCTCAGGTAAGATACACATTCAGTACTATAAAACCTGACAGTCATGTAATAAATTACAGTTAAACATGGAGGAAACATTTTGTATTTATTCCACTGTTTTCTCTCTTGTAGTCTCTCTATGAGACGTGGTTCATCGCTTTATACACTGTCTTCTACACATCATACCCAGTTATGTGCATGGCCGTCTTTGAGCAGGTGAGATGGAGGTTCTTAATTATGTGGTTAATCACATAAAAATTCCTATAATAATGCCACAGCCTGCCTCTTTGTGCCCTAGGATGTTAGTGCAGAAAGCAGCCTGAAATGGCCCAAGCTGTACATGTCTGGACAAAGACAGGAGCTCTCCAGCCCTTTGATGCTATTCCTGTCACTCCTGTATGCTGTCTACACATCACTTGTTCTCTTCTTCATCCCTTTTGGAGTTTTCTACAACACAGCCTATGACTACCAGACCATGGCTGTTACTGTTGCCCTGTCAGTCGTGCTAACTGCCACAGCTGAGGTCAGAAGCATACTTTTTGTGAAGTACAGCATGTTGTTAATGTTTTATTTTTTTTGTTCTACTTTATATTATTAATATTATTTGATTCAAATGTGTTCTGCTTTGTTCTCAGTCTTTTTTGTTCTATTCTGTATTATAAAAGTTATATGCAGTTCTGTTCTGTTCTCAGTCTATTGCATTCTGTTTTGCTATATTCTGTTCCAGTCTGTTCAGTGCAGTTTTATTCTTTTCTGTTCTGTCCTGTCTGTTCTATTACTTTCTTTAATTCCAATATATCCAAAATGGATCTAGACCATTTTCATATAGGTATATTCAGAAGTAATACTTACCTCTGGTGTGTTAGTCTGTTGGTTATCACAGCTGACTGAAAACTGTTAAAAGACAATAGAGAAATGATTTAATATGTTAAAGCCCATATGCAGGAGAGGTTCCAATCTCATTGAATCAGAAAATAATAATAACATAATCATGTGAAATTTATTTTTTAACCATTTCCTCACGTCTTCACTGACAGCTACTGTGCTGTACCATTCTGATCTAACTTCTGTATTTCTGTTCGTCTGTAAGATTACGCTGCGAACTAGATACTGGACGAAGTTCAATATTGCTGCTGTGTGCGTCTCTGTGGTGTTGTTCTTCATCTGTACCAGGATCACCCACAACGTCCACCTGTTTAAGAGATCACCCGTTGACTATAACTTTTTTGGTACTCTTCTTTTCATCTCATCCTGCTTTTTATTCATTTTTGTCACTTGTTGCTTAACATCCCAATACTGCAGGATTTGATTCAAATATAGGCAAATAATATGAAAAGAACACATACAACACAACACATTTTAATGATTAGTTAATGCCATTTTCTGTCATCATGTCTGTGAACAGCTTTTTCTGTGTGTGCTTTTCATCAGGTGCGTCTGATCAGGCCTTTGTCGAACCAGTTGTGTGGCTCACAGCTCTACTCACTGTCTGGGTGGCTATTTTACCCTCAGTGACTGCCCACGCCCTCATTGTCATCCTCACCATCCATGACAAACGCAAGGTGAGACAGAAAGAGTTTGGAGTCTCAATTGTTAATTGACTCAATTTACAATGTAAAATAAGGACATTTGCAATCTCCTGAATGTTAGTGCATAAAAGTTCTAAATATTTCTCCATATAAGCTGCAGCAGAAGACAAAGTCCAGGACTTAATTAATTAAGAATCCAATATTTTTACTATTTTCTCAGTGATAGTTCCACCCTTGTGTGCATCCTCATGAATACTGACAGGAAAAGCTGCTGGTATATTGTGTTACTGATGTAATTGTCTGACGTAAGGGCCGACTCAATATGCCACTGATGGTTGCTATTTTGTATTATTTTGGAGCTTTAAGAAGGCTGAGATTGTGTATCAACTCTTGTGAGTTTTAATTTGACCTGAGAAGCTTCTGTAAGAATAAATGGTCACTGTTGTCCCTTTGTGATGTAGGTCCACAGCATGTCCCATCAGTCGGTGGAGCTGAGGTCAAAATTCAGAAGGGGCACGTCTCTCCGCCGTTCCTCCTACGCTGTCTCTCAGGGTGCTGGGCCTGGACGCTTCATCACCTCAGCATCCAGCACCCGCAGCAAAGTTCCACTGGTGGATGAGAAGGTGACTGCACGAACTAATCCCCCTGACTCACAAGACCCAGTTCTCAAAAAGGACACTGCACCAAATTGCACTTAACAGTAATTAATGATGATTTTCAATGATAAATTTCGGGTTTTTCTTTATATGTGATCATATAGATGATTCTGCAGCAGAGAAGTGATAAATAATTTGTTCAGTTTCTACATTTTTTAGTTGAGCCATCATGCTTTTCTATGTTCTAATAAAGTAAATGATCAACAAAATACATTATGTATGATAAATCTTGTTTACTACCTTTAGATAGACAGTGTACCTCTATAAGCTGTGATCTCAAGAGATTTCCTTTGAAGATCAAACCAAACACAATAAACCGACAGCACTACTTTGTTTTAGTTGTTTTATTCATTAATTTATTTCAAAACACGCAGTTTTACCCATATTATCCTTTAAGTTTTTAATTTTCTGTAACAGTTATTACTCAGATTTTTTTTCCTTCTCAAAAGTCTCAACTAGAGTGAAACTAGAAGTCCTCCACAGGCTCTCCAGCTTCTGCAGTGGGAGGATGGAAAAGAGGCTTTCTGTCCAGACATTAACATTTGTGTGGGTGGAAGTGTGTGCTGGGAGTTCACACCAGTGTGTGTATGTATATTTGTCTGTGTGTGTGTGTTTAAGTGCAATAGATGGAATGTCCACATGGCCGTTAAATCGCAGGACCTGTAGAGCAGCTGAACATTGTCTTCTAGGTTTGGTAGCCAGATTGTCATACCTCTGATTTCATCTTTGGTTTCAGCAAACACTCTCAAAAGGCAGACTCACTCTCTCCAGCATGTGCCTGTAGCTGTCTTGTCTGTCTGTCTGTCTGTCAGTCTGAGTGCAATATAAGCCACCATCTCCAGACGACTTTGTAAACTTAAGTACAATGTTAAGTGTCTTTGCATTGATTGTGGCCCTTCCTTGGCGCTGGGGACAAAGACAATCAAACATTGTAGAACAATGGAGCCATGACTGGGGAGGATCAGCTTGCAACAACATGGACTCCATTTTGATATCGATGGCAGTTTGGGGGATTTGTGTAAAGCATGTACGACATCGGTCTAATGAAACATGGTGCTGTAGTGCTCTTCTCTCCCCAGCCACTCTCAACTGTACCCTGAGTGACTGGGGTTGCTCCTCGCACTCTGGGCCTTATGGGAAAGGTGGTGGTGGGGGGTCATTAAGGTTAAAGTGTGAGTGTGTAAATATTGAGGGGAGGTGTGGGGGTTGTACACTCTGACCCAGCAGCAACGATTAAGATTGGGGGGGGGTCAGGTGTTTGCATAGTTCTCTGTGCAAAAGCCACCAGTCGGAGCCATTTTCATTCCTCGCGGCTGGTTACATCATCATTAGATTAGCAGGACATTGTGGTGGGTGATGGGAAATATGGTCTTTGTACCAAAGCTCTTTTTTTTGTACTCCTGCAGTGCACACCATAGTGGCAGGAGAGTGAAAAGTGACAGGAGGTGACAAGGGAATGAATTTAAAATGTTGAATGAGTTTAGTTTCATTATTTTGAATCATGTTGGGCTTTGCAGTCAGATGTGGCTATGATGGGATGGACGACAGATGGGGTGATGGGGCAGTCGTTTGGCAGTCGGGCACAACATCGTCAAAATCCAGAGAGCCTCTTTTCCCTTGATTTTGATCTGCCGCCCTCCCTTTCCTCCTCCCCACTGGCCTGCCCTCTCTCTACCTTTATTCTTGTTTTGAAACTGATTGTCTTCTACCATCACAAAGACACTTGGTTCTGATTGATTAACAGGTAACAGAAGAGGGAGAGCACAGTGTGACTGGGGGCGTTTACATCAGTGCCACTGGCAACCTGTTCGATCCCACGGCGAAATGACATGCACATATGCTGTTTGACAGTAGATGCTGATGTCATTTCTGGTTGGATGATCAGTTGCCAGATGGTACTGTGGTTGGTTGGTTGGTCGGTCAGTCAGTAAGAAATGGTTTCAACTTTTTCGCATAACAAATATTGCAACCCATAGTAAAGGAACATAAAAAAGAAACACTTTGTCTTCCACATAGGTACAAATGAACACACATATACAGATTGAAGAAAAGCATGTAGACAGACATACATGTATAGCGAAGGCCGCTCAGGCCTGTGTGTGTCCCTTTGATTAACTCCAAGTAAACAGCCCATCTTTGGAAAAGCAGGGCACACATTTCAGGACCCAAGTGAGGGCCACAAGTGGAGGAATGAAGACTGAATGCTATTGATTGGGAGGGAGAGGAGTTTGACCTCCCCCAGCACACACTGCCCCCTACTGTCTGGATTTATATACATCAAAGAAACATGGGGAAAGGGGAAGGGTTGCAACAACACATGCACACAACCAGTGAATCCAACAGTGACGGAAATTCTAAAAACAAGGACCCCTCCAATGCCTAAAACCCAAATCCTCCCACCCCCTTTTTTGTTTTGATAACCAAAATATCTCCCACCCACTCCCAAGTCTTTCTATCCTCCTCCTCTCCCCACAAAATCACAAGTCATTCCTGTTGGTTGCTATACAGTTATACAATATCCATGCACAAAAGAAAAAAGTGCACCTTCTTTTCAATGAGAGGTGCTGGTTTTTAATATTCTAAGAACATCAGGAGCACTTGAACACACCCAGGAACCTTCAAAAGTAACTGTGAAATTTTTTTCAGAGAAAAGACAACTGAAAGGTGTAAGAAAGTTAACAATGAGTAAAGGTTATCCCTCCTTTGGTTTAACATCAAATTTTTGGTTTAGAATTCAGCCCAAATCATATTTTTGTCGAATCTTTCTGTCTTTCTTTCTTTCTTTCTTTTGTTTTTTTTGTTTTGTTTTTCCTTTAAATGTACTTGTCTATTAGAGGAATGAGCTTGAAAGTGAGTAGCTCCTGCCCCCTTCTCTCTGGTCTAGTCTTCTTTTCTCATGTAACCCTCCACAGAAACATTCACAATGTCTCTTGCTTTATGAAAACAGTTAAGTACATGCCGTAGCAAAAACAAACAAGAGAACATACAAGAAAAATGAGCAAACAAATAAAAGGAATTTAACAGTATAAAGCTTCAAGTCACAAGTTCCAAAACTAACTATTATAGTATCATAGTTTCATAATCATTGTTATCATTAGCAGTATTATTTTCAGTTTAAATTACATAAAGTTTACATGAAAGGTTTTTGAGGTATTTCAGAATTAATTGTCAACACACGCCTACCAGGTCTTAGCACTAGCCCAGGGGGAGAGGTCGACCAGACGGACAAGATGGACAAAGAGAGAGAGTTTGTGTCTGTTAATGGTTGGTGAGTTATTCACACTTTTCTAGTGCAGCCTCTGTGCTTGCACGCAGTGGAGAGCGTGAGATGTTTAGTGGTATGGTTTACAGCTACAGCCCTCTGAGTGCTTGGAGCCTCTGCCTTTTTCCCCCTCTCGTTCTCTGTTGCACAAAAATATCTCTGATGTGAGAGAGGTAATGCGGCTGAGAGTAAAAGCACACTAGGCAGAGAAAAAACAAACTCAAAGGCTGTGAGCTACTAGAAGATCAACGATACAGTAACAAAGACTGACAGATTAAGGAGTAACATATAATTTCATTTCAAATAAATAGTGTATAAAAATGCTTTAAAGATGTTCTACATGATAAAGTGCTTGTATTCTAGCGTATCAAAATGGAAAGTCAATATGGGAGGAAATGCTGACACAGCCCCCGCTCTGTGTCCCTCTCTTTGGCCCCCCATTTCTGTTCATCCAATTATGGGTGTACTGTCTGTGTGAGTGCATGTTTGTAATACATGGGTGAGCTGTATGTGTGTGTCCAGTGCAGTACCACCTGTGGTTGAAGGGAAAAGGCACTCAGCTCTGTCTGCAAGGTAACCACCTCCTCCTTTGTGGCACAATGCAGTCTGACTGCACTGTTAGTATGACTATTTGTGTGTATATATGTCTAATATTGTCACTGTGTCCATCTCGAACAGTTTAGGCAAAAGGGGGGAGGGGTCTCTCTCTCTTTTTCCTTTTTTATTCATTTGTGTCCCCCTAGGCAGTTTGGGACGGGTAGGCCGCAGTATCTTTGGTATCAGTGGCGGTTTCACAAACCACTCAGCTTAGTGAGGTAGCCACACTGGTTCTCACTACAAACAAATGTCATTTTGTCAGCCTAATACCTAGAGCTGAATCTAGCTATTTACCTATGCTCGCTGAACTGTATACCACAAATCAATTTTAGCTCATCACTCTTTGGCGACATTAACTCACTGCTTACAGCAGTGTGAAGTTAGTCAGGACCTCTTGATAAACTCCTCTACAATGACCGCCTCTTATCTAATCTGCACCACTAGTCTGACTACATTGTTGGAAATGCTACAGTTGCATCTTAAGACCATACAGATAACTACTGACTCCCAGGCTTTAACAACACCCCCCCCCTTCCCCCCAATAAAACACAATGAGTCAGCCAGGACATTTGGAGGTCATTGTTTTGTCCCCCTCCTTTTTTTAAACCTCATTCTTGGGGCTCAGTTTAAAGGGGGCTGAGTAGCACAGTTCTGACATGACATGCCAAAAGAGAGAAAGTGTTCATCGTTATTCTTCTCTTCAGCAGCTCCCTGTTTTGTTTTGTTTTCTCTATTTCTTGTGGTAAATGTCTCCTCTGGATCTATATTCTCAGAGAATCCAAAAAAAAAAAAAAAGGTCCACCTTTGGCCTCAGTCCTTGCATCCTGCTTTTTTCTTTTAAAATGTCTTTCCTTTTTTGTTTTTGATTTATCAACAAGGTGCCTTACTTATGCACAACAGTTACAAGAAATAGAAACTTTGTGTCTATGGTACTAATTAAATACCCGCATCAATATAGAGAGAAAGAGGGAGGGGGGCAATGGGGTTAGAGGGACAGAGGAGGTAGAGAACCAAAGACAGAATGAAAGATTTTTCTCCTGCTTCAAAATGTGTTTGAAACCTTTGCTTTTAGTTTGTAACATGTTCTGTACGTGTGGTATCTTTGTCGTTTGAGGTTTCATTATTGTATGCCTTAAAATCTGGTTCTTTTTTTCTTTCTTGCTTTTAATAAAAAAGTATATTTTAATTCACTTAAAAGCTGATTGTTGGTTGCTATGACACACATCGCACATCATCATTGGGACGCACTGTAAATGTGTGTGAACCTTAGTACCATAGTCTCTGATTTGCATTAAGGCAGTAAGCATTGGCACTAATTATTGTAGCATTTTGACAGCTGAGTGTGGTGGTTAGCTTTGGGGTTAGCTACTGATAACCCTTGTGTGGGAATAACTAGGAAATTTGGTTTGAATCACATCTGTTGAGAGCTTTTTTGCAAACAGATAGGATGGATAAAATTATTTGATAAAATATGCAGCCTCAGAATATTGTAAATTAAGCCCCCAATGCACCTCAAAAGTGTCTGTCTCAGAAAACATTTATGATATTTTCTGTCTTCTCTTTGTGTAATTTCTTTGTTCGTACTCTGTGGATTCTTTAAGATTTTGATTGGTTAAATAAATCCCTGCCTTTGCTAAATCCCTGTGTTTTCATCATTCTGTTTAACCATCCCCCTCCTGCGGCTTCACCAGCACTGGTTGGATGAGAAACAACAATAGGGTAATGGTTAGCTATTGATCTGCCTTCAAAGAGCTGTGAGGGCCTGAATGTGTTGTGCCATGACTTCTCCTCAGCATCTAGTGGCTCTTCCCTCCCTCTCCTCCGCTCTGAATCCCCTTGCTCTGCTGGATACGGGTCTCTGCTATCGTCAGCAGGGGGCACTGTTGCTCTGTCAGCACAGGCAGGACCAGGGAGGGAGGGGTGTGCTGCTTCTGCTGCTGTAGTAGTGAGACCTTTGTGTCCCCATCTCCACTGGGTTCCATGTGCTCCTCTTACATCCTGCTTTTCATATGCAGCTAAAAATGTAGTTGGCTGGATGCCTGAGCGTGCTGTTGTCACTTGGCTCTCGGTTATTGATCAGAGGAAAAGCTCTGAGCAGAACAAGGAGCTTGTCCAGACATCTCACCCACCTCTCCTGCTGGTCAGAGAAACTCAGACTCTAGGCTCAGGCTAAGAGTAACAATGAC